CTACTACAGATAATCATGCGTGCACGTGATTTAATAGGAATGATAGTTATACATTTTCATACACATTACATATGATATGCACTTTGAACGTATCCACAGAATAAACGGATATTTCCCCCTCGCTGTTTTCTCAAGCCCGGCGCACACGTGAGTAATTTTACCCAAGTAAAATGATGCATGCGTCAAAATACTCACGCGAAATATTTTCAGCGTCCGCCGCACACGTGAGTAAAATTACTCTATGCAAGGTATAATTCAAGTGGTAAGGTAGATCACGTGACTGTGCGCATACTGGGCGCACAATGATTTACCATGTGAGTACCAGTGTTGAGTAAATTTACGCAGCTAGCGCGCACACCGTGAGTATTTTGACGCATGAGTAAAAAATTATCAAACATGTTTGATATCGAGTTTCTTGATGCATGCGTCAGAAAACTCAACGAAAATCGGGCGCACACGTGAGTATTTTGACGCATGCATCATTTTTCTGATGTAAATCCTGAGTGAAATTACTCACGTTTAACACAATGTGCCCGCCGCCTTCGACTACCAGACGCAAATCCTATACATAGACCTTGGCTTACAAATAAATAACGACTTCACCGATCTACACCATTTCCTCGGAAACAACAGTTCCTATAACAATTTTCCTATAATTTTGCTAGATTCATAATCCAGCCAGCATCAACCGGTGGTTTCATTGGTTTCTTAATTAAAACCAACATTCTCCCGGGGGGGGGCACTCCATATATACTGCATGGTAGGTATGTGCCGCGAAAGAAACCCCCATTTTCAACCCTAAACTTCCGTTCCAGTGCATCGCATTTTTAAGAACATCTTGTTCCAGAGAATCATAGGTTTAGTTACCATGCAGATCTTACATTTTTGCCGTTCCGGAGACCCTAGTTTTTAACATTTCCGTTCCAGTTCATCAGTGTGTGTGTGTGTGTGCGCGTGCGCGCGCGTGCGTGCGTGCGTTCATCTCTGTCTGGGTCATGTTGTTCTCTCCTATACATAATACAACTGTATATAATACAACAATTATTGGTTCAAGTGCTACAGCATAGATTTTAAAGCAAATCACAGTTCCACCACAGTTCCGGAGACCCCCATTTTCGAACATTGCGAGTTCCAGAGCATCCCACATTCAACAAACATTAGTTTCAGAGACCCCCATTTTCAGGTCTGAGTTAGTTCCAGAGCCCTCCATTTTTGACTTCGCAGTGGCACATACCTACCATAATGCGGGGTGAGTGCCCCCTCCCCCCCTACCGGGAACATTCTATCCAACAAGCGAACGACCACCTTCTTTGCATCTGCATTGTCTCTGCATTTGTTACATATAAGAGAGACCACGGCGTCTACATGCATGAAACGCTTGCAAACTGCGGTAGACAGATATTAAAGTGTTATTTTATTGTTTAAGATTTGTTAGTAAGCTCTAAGTTGACAGTCACTCGCCTTTGGTTTTCTAAAAACCCGTCCAAAAAGAGACACATAACTGCATCCACTTAAACACCATAGCTCACGGAATTACGCTCATTTGAAAGACAGTCGACCTGATATAGAACTCCCTGTTATGCATATCTTCCACACGTTACAACAGCAGTATCTGCTTTCATTACTAACATCGCCATCATCTTAAACAAAGTACTATACCTGTCTCTAGTAATATCACTACTACGAAGATCTCAATTAAATAATTAATCTTACGGGTCAGGTCTCCGACCTTGCACTTCTAAATTGGCGTTTACGGCCGCCTAAATGTTTGCGCGTTCTGAATTACAATAGGCGCACACCTGTAGTAAGCTGACAACATGTTATAATCCTACTCCTGAATATACCTTACATGATTGTAGTAGAAGTTTGATTCCTTAATACTGTACGTTTACTGCTTAACGTCGCTTATATTGCCCATTGCCATTTAATAGCGCACCATACCCAACTATAACTGCATGCAAATTCAAAGTGCTAGTGGGGAAATTTCCTTTAAGATCAATGCGTTTTCACGTTTCTATAGAGTGACTACGTTCGTGGGAAGTCGATGAGAATGAAATTCAGTTCGCGGATATACATTCATAAAAGCGCACATAGGGAAATTGCATAGAATTTTCTGGAACCGTCCACGTAATCTAACCCGATTGAAACTGTTGCTGAGTACAAGGAAACGTGCAAAGTGGTTGGGCCACCCTTAATTGGAACAGAAACCACCGGGAGTACAGTAAATAACACTCAACAACAACTTACTGCGTTAGACACTAGCATTTCGCAACATTAATAAAGCGTGGCTGCATCGTAATCACGATCTCTCACCATGATTACAGCTCCTCATCCTGACTCCACTGTGGTACGTAAGAAAGTAAATGATCAATTTGTACTTCAATGTAAGTAATTGCACCGACTTTATATCGATAATGAAGAAGCATCTCTTGCCCTCAAGGGTACGACAATTAAGTAGCGCACGAGTTAAAATTATGTTAACAAGTATCGAGTTACCCTGATTAGCAACTAGCCTCACCTTCTTATATACTTTGTAATCACAATACATTTAGCATTTTCCGAGCTACAAAAATAGGCGTAGCTAAAACCCAAGCGGGTCCTTTAGCCTATAGATGATTAAACGACTTACATATTAAGATATATATAATGTGCTCAGGCATATGACATAAAATAACATAAATATATATACTCTTCCCCAGCTCAATGAGTTTCCTTAGCAATCTGCTTTTCAACGCGTTTAAAACCGCAAATACTAATGTTGAACAAGAAAATGAAACACATTTCTGCATAGCTGTATAGCACACTGATCAGCTAACACGAACAAGTACAATTAATTATACATTTCAATGGCCCACAAACTATGGAAAATGTCACCAATCAGCATAGAACAAGTTATCTCAGCGTGAATAATTACCAGTTACAAAGAAATTAGACAAACAATGTACTTCTCATAATTATCTAATTGCTCAATCCTCGGCCTATCACTCTTATGTTAACTAGAGCCGCAGAGCGTCTGGGCTCATCTGAGGTCTGTTGCTAGAATGATAAACGTAACATTTAAGTCGTGCGTAGTGAGACCTTTGTAAGGCGCAGATATGTAGTTGCGTACACATCATTTCAGCAACCTTCTGCATTCTGCATACCTCCCAAATCCCATTGGTTGATATGAATCGCGTGCCTGAAACTCCTGTTTTATGGTGCATTGTGACCCTAACCCTAACCCTATTAAAAAAAAAAATTAATTGTTGTAAAAATTATATGTTGTTATGAATTTGTTGTAAATAAATCATGTAAATATTTTCCTTATTGAATATCCTTGAAAGAAAGCATGGATAAAGATAGAAAAATACAGAAAACAGGTAAATAATAAAAAATCGCATGGGATTCGACCCAATGACCTTTGAGCCGTAATACTGTGCTGTATCCGTTAGGCTATCGAGGCATATTGGGTTTGCAGATTATGGATGTGCCATGACTGTAACATCATTGAGGCAGTTCAGGAATCCATGTTTAACCCTCCTCTTGAGGGTCAAAAGGTTATCAGACACTTACTCTTCGCACGTCAGTGGAAAGCACATTTAATGGTCCTTTCAATAAAGTGATAAAAATGGTAGGTCAGCGCTGAAACAAAAAAGTTTTTCACTCTGTTCGTTAGCCCATGTCCTCAGAAAATGTCTGATATCTGACCTTTCCCCCCTGCCCTTTGACCTGTGACCTCCAATTTCGGCACAGTGATTGCTTTTCCTACCATGATGCTATACACCGACTATCACGAGCCTAGGTCGAGCCGTTTAGATTTGTGCCGCAATTCTGCATTTCCTCCCTATACCTTAAAGCCGCACTATGCGCATCCAAACGCTAATTTCTCCAGTACTAGACTAGCAAATACTTCGTGTCATGCATAATCACACTACCTTATGGCAAAATAAACTCTAGTTCCTCCCATTTCACTGCGCGTTTGCTTAAAACCCACAAGAAAGAGGTGCGAAATCTGGTAATCTGGCGCCAACGCCGACTTGTTTGCCAAACAATTTAGCCTCGAAGCGGTTAGGTGACATCACGTTTTTTTTCTTTGCTACACCCGTACCGCTGTACCGCAGCACCGCTGCACGGTTGCTTGGGAGAGCAACGCGAAACTGTCAACAACATCGGAGAATTTGAACAACATTGGAGATATTTTCAAATGCCTTTTATAAGACAACGCGCAGTGAATGGGAGGAACTAGACTTTATTTTGTCATAAGGTAGTATGATTCTGCATGACACGAAGTATTTGCTAGTATAGTACTGGAGAAATTAGCGTGTAGATGCTCATAGTGCGGCTTTAAGTTAAGGAGGGAATGTTGCCCCTTCTTTTACACCTCTTGACCTTTGACCTTTGACCCCCAGCTTCGACATCCCAACTCGTTTTCGGATTACCCCCCTACGTCCCGACTTTCGAATCCGTACGTCGAGCCGTTTAGATTAGAACTGTTGACGGACGCACGGACGCACGTTCATGCGATTCTACAAGCTGCATCTGACTATGTCAGATAAGCTAAAAATACACTGCATGAATAATCTTTGAACTTAAAAATATATTCACAGAAATTGGACATTAATTTAAGCCCGTCACACATGGATGACATTCTATCAATTGTGATCACGGCCGATCACGAACTAGTGTGATAATGAGTAACAAGCAATTGCAGGTTACATTGATTGTGTAATCGCTGTTTGTGTCACTACCTGCGACTCAAGCGCCATTGTAATTTACATTACAACAGGCCAATAAACACGGGTATGCGCAGTCATGCCATTCGGCAAAATATGAGACACCCATAAAGATGCCATCACATAATATGCCACCAGTAATCTCTCACAATTGACGCCGCTAGAATCATTAGTCACAAATGAGAGTGCGTGATGACATATTATGCTCCGTTGCACGCCCCACCCATTGCAATTAATTTCAACAACAAAAAGATAAATATATTTATATACACTACCAGGGTAATAAGAAAGATGTGTATGGTGGGGAACTATCACTGGTGTCACGAGTATCATACACTGATGATGAAGTGTACCGAATGCAGTAAGTATCATTCTTCTTGCCAAGACTGGAAAGTGAGTGAAAGTGAAGGACGTTACAACTACAGCATGCTTGTGGACACTGGGCATAACATACTAATAATTTTAGCAGAAAGATAAATATATTTATATACACCCTATGGGTGATAAGATAGATGTATCACTAGTACCACGAGTATCACACACTGGTGATGACATTTATCGAATGTGATAATTCTTGCCAAGTGTGAATTTGTTGACTTGCCAAGACTGAAAACAAACTCAAAATGAACAACATTACAAACAAGGCTAAAATCTACTTGCTGACTAGCCGACCAAAGCAACTGCCTTATTGCTTCCATACTGATGGCCCTGCAATGCGGTTCCAAGTATTATCATAAACATAGTGTGAATACAAAATATATTCAGACACACACGCTCAGCACCGCACCGCACAAGCACACACGCACGCACGCACGCACGCACGCACGCACGCACGCACGCACGCACGCACGCACGCACACACACACACACACACACATACACACACATACTATATATAAACCATAACAGGGGTAGAAATTAACTTTTGAACACGGGAGTCCAACGGAGGGACGGAGTCCACACACCCTCAAAAAAGGGAATCTGCAGTCTGAGGTTCAAAATTTAAGATATTAACGCATGTGCATATTTTTAAGATTCATGCGGTTGCATGTCTGCCCAAATTTTCTTTGGACATTAGCTGAAAAATATGGTAATTCCGCGAGGCCGTGCTCTGGAACGAACTAGTTAGTATGGAAGAATTTTCAGAGAGTCACACGGACTCCTGCATATGTCAAATCAGGGAGTCCGCCAGTAAATCAGGGAGTATTTGACTCCGGACTCCCATTAATTTCGCACCCTGCCATAATATGTATATATATATGATCAGGAGTAAGATAATAATATAGGAGGAGTATGACAGTCCAAAATACGTGAAATTCAACATTTGCTTGCCTAATTTTACCGATGATATATTACGTGCAACTCGATAAAAATTACATCTAAATTAGCGTTGGACATCCACCTCTCACTCAAACTTTACTCAGTTTCCATACCTCTTCTTTTTATGGAGATATAGCTTTGAACGTCACACATGGTTCATAGCTTTTGACTAGGCTTGTGGCTTAGCATTCCTCGCCTTCCGAACTGTTGTTATGAAGTGTGAGGAATGGTCTCTTGTCTGTTAACAAGAATGCCCCCTGTTGGCTGTGGCGATAAGGGGTTTGAAAGTACGTGTAACCGTAACCGCCAACAGGGGGCATTCTTGTGAACAGACAAGAGACCATTCCTCACACTTCATAACAACAGTTCGGAAGGCGAGGAAAGCTAAGCCACAAGCCTAGTCAAAAGCTATGAACCATGTGTGACGTTCAAAGCTATATCTCCATAAAAAGAAGAGGTATGGAAACTAAGTAAAGTTTGAGTGAGAGGTGGATGTCCAACGCTAATTTAGATGTAATTTTTATCGAGTTGCACGTAATATATCATCGGTAAAATTAGGCAAGCAAATGTTGAATTTCACGTATTTTGGACTGTCATACTCCTCCTATATTATCTTACTCCTGATATGATGTTATATCATCCATATATAGGTTCGTGATATTACATATGGCTAGTGACACATGGTCAAACTACAAGCAGTAAAATTATATTAAAAATACTATCTATAATTTCATTGTACATCAATATTATATATGCGCATGAACATATCTAAACTATATATGTTAGTATGAATGTATTAACGCATATAAACATAAATACGAGAATAGATGTGTTCATGGTATATATGTATTTGTGCGTGTACACGTGTGCATGTATGCAGTCCTCGCCAAAAGACAAAATCCTTTACTGGACATTCGGTCCAGTAAAAAATAGATTTTTACCAGACCGAATGATATGTTACTGGACCAAAAAAATATTGAAACATTAAAACACATTCACATCTCTGTTGCTTTTCCTTTGTGGACATATCTAACATATATATGCTTTCCTGCTCATCACCAGCTATGTCTGTTGACGCGTCCATGATAAAGCTGAAAAATCTAGCATCGTTTATTTTTTCATCCATTTCGTGACGCGTACAATCAGCAATGCATTGCTTGCCAGCTTTGTCATTAATGTAGGTTTCACCTATTTCTAGGCCTTTGGCCTTGTCCAGTTGTGTGATCCAGGTATAATCAGTGATAGTAATATAAACTTCCCATGATAGTTCACACACACACGTCGCATGTCATCATTTTCTTATCTTTTATCATATAACAGCTAATCTCTTCCTATCGCTTTCCCACACCATAGATTAATTTGGTACACGCGTATATAAGATAGCCATAGGCAGGGATATTAGAGTTAGGCATAGTGTGTGGTACTGGCGTACCCGTAGCCTCTGCATAATTAGTTGATATAATGTTACCAGACACACGGTCTGGTAAAGCCAAATTTCTTGTCCGACCCGTGCAAAAATCACCGGTTTTGTCCGCCGGTCCGACGCTTTTCGCAAGGACTGTGTATGGTAAGTGTTTATGCACACTTGTGCATACATGAACATGTGTTTTGTAAGAAAAAGCTCTTTAAATATATGCCTCTATTTCCACTTATACACGTGCAGCCAGCATATGTAAGAAGTGTTAGGCAAGCGGGTGCATGCACAGACTAGGATTCAAAGGCCACAACATAATCCTACGATAGAATGTGACGAAAGGAAATAAAATGCTTGACCTTTACACCATGGCAAGAAAATGCAATTTGCATCACAGTCCTCCTTCCCCCCAAAATACCATCGCAACAGGCAGATTGGCATGAACCTTTGGTTACGATGCCTAACAGGGGAGGGCGCCACCGTCACACGTTCTTCGAGTTGGCGAGGTCGCCACTCGATGCGCACGGCAGCACCTTCAGCAGCTCGCTGACACCGTCCTGGATCGTGAGCGTTGAGCGGAAGCCGAGGCTGCGGATGCGCGCGTACGACACCTCGTAGTCGCGCTTGTCCTTGTCCTCGCCGTCGCTCGACGCCGTGATCACGCATCCGGCAACGAGCCGCTGGATGATCGCCGCGACGTCCGCCTTGCACATGTTCAGCCGCTCGTCGCCGACGTTGAACGGCCGGCCGGCCATCTTGCCGTAGTCGCTGACGGCGAGCATGAACGCGCGCGCCGCGTCGCGGATGTGCAGGAACGTGCGCCGGAAGCCGCCCTCGTACAGCGCAAAGTGCTTGATGGTGAGCGCGCGGCACGTCAGGTCGTTGACGAGCAGGTCGAGGCGCAGCCGCGGCGACAGCCCGAAGACGGTGGCGAGGCGCAGCGCGACGCCGCCAGCCTCCAGCACGAGCCGCTCCCCCGTCGCCTTCGTGCGGCCGTACAGCGTCAGCGGGCTGATCGCCGTCTCCTCCGTGCAGACGCCATCGACGGCGCCGTAGCACGAGCCCGTCGACGCGTAGATGAGCTTGTGGTGCGGCTGCAGGTGACGCGTAACGGCGCGCGTGCCCTCCTCGTTGATGCGCGCCGCGCGCTCCGGCGCCGCCATGCACGCCGGGTAGCCGACGACCGCCGCCAGGTGAATGATGACGTCGCACGCGCGCATCGTCGCCGCCAGGTGCGGCTCGTCGCACACGTCGCCGCGCACGAGCCGCAGCCGCGGGTCGCTGGCGACGCTCAGCAGCGGCGCTACGCCAAACGCGAAGATGTCGTAGACGGTGACGTGGTAGCCGGCTTGCAGCAGCATCGGCACGAGCATCGAGCCCAGGTAGCCGGCGCCACCTGTGACGAGAACGTGGCACGGTGGGGCGACGCCATTACTGAGTGAGCCGGGATGATCGCTGACCTCCGACTCAGTATCACCGTTACTGTTGCCAACATTGTTTGCCTGATCAATGCTCATGCCATTCACCTGACCGTTGATCACACAATTCAGTTGATCAGTAATTACGCCATTAAGCTGATCATTGATCGCACCATTCATTTGATCAGTAATTATGCAATTAAGCTGACCATTGATCACACCGTTAAGCTGACCTTTGCTGACTGGGATTACTACAGGATCCATTGGAAAATGCTATCTGCAAAACAGAACAATTGAGTGTTGGTATGATGGTGGTTGGAGATGCATGTTGTGGCTATAAAAATAAAAGTGTCAATGACACTATAGCTCACCTTGCATGTGATAGAAGAGGGAGATGATATTTAAAATTTGGCAAGTGTTTCATTTATGACAGACCGAAATGTGATCAAATGTCCTTACTCCCCGTTTTATACTAATAGAAATTTCACCGTTTTGTTTCAGGGTTAGTTCTGATCTTAAATGTTAGATCTGAAAGTCTGAAATCTGGGCGAGAGATGGCGCTACGCCTAAATGATCGCCATTTTGGTTTTCGATTATCGCGCAAATAAAAGCAATAAACTATTCCAGTCAAATTACTGTAACGAAGATTCTAAAACACAATATTACACCTAGGTATGATTAGGTAGGTAGGTAGGTAGGTAGGTAGGTAGGTAGGTAGGTAGGTAGGTAGGTAGGTTAGGTAGGTTAGGTAAGTAGGTAAATTTAACAAAATCGAATGAATCTAGATGGCCATTTTCATTTTTGCCAAAAAGTGGGCGTGGCTCGAAAGTAGGTCGTCTGGCATGCTCCAAAATAGGACGTTCAAATCTCTCCCATAGGAGTAACAACAGTTATCGTTGACCGTAGGCAGACACTTAAATGCATAGTGAAACTGCCAAAATCTACCTAATTTGCATAATTTTTATAAAAAATATCAAAACTCCAGTGATATGTTTTGGAGCCAGCCCTTATTCATTCACATACCAAAAATGAGCAAAATCCGTTGAACCTGAACTGACTTATGAACATTTCCATTTTTGTCAAAAAGTGGGCGTGGATCGAAAGTAGGTCAACTGGCGTGCTCCAAAATAGGAGGTTCACATCTCTCCCATAGGAGTAACAACAGTATGCAATTTGAAACATGTGGGTCAAACGGTTCTCAAGTTATTGTTGACCGTAGCCAAATGTTGACGGGCGGACGGACGTGCGACGGACGACACACCATGGCAATAGCTCATCTTGACGATGTCAATGTGAGCTAATGATGCATTATAATATGCATTATAATTTGTGCAAAGCATGTCACATGCCATAAAATAAAAACAAAAATTGCCCACAGAGCAGCACTGCCATCAAGCATAAACAGGTTCTTGCCACCAATGACTGCCATGATGTGTGACAAATAAAGGTTCTTAAATTTCCTGTCGAACATAATAATGTTTTCCATATAATAGAACATATATCACTCTCGGTTTTTTGAGTAATGATGAGGCCATAGTTCATCAGAATGGCTTAGATTCTCTCTCCACGATCTATAACCTCTCTAGATTGTGGTAACGCATAGAAAAACGATTAGGGAAAAGCCAGATTAAATGTTTGAGTTAACTTTTGGCTTCATGCTCATTTAGTTACCTATTATAATTAAATCACAGGTGGAGTAATGCTAATAAATGGAATTCTGTCTGTTCTGTTTTACAATTACAACATTAACAAACAAAAACAATTATTGTATAATATTTGTTATCTGATTGTAAACACTACCGAATTGTAATTTTAGCAGAGAAAATCACATGCCGCCCGCTGCGAGGTGCTGTCACCTAGCATAAACTGTTTCTTGCCACTGATGGCCGCCACACGTCTGATCAGCACATGTATGGTTTCAACCAAGGGCAGTAATATCAAATCTTTTAAAATTCACAGGTAGTAAAAATACCCATAATGTGATGAACACATCTATTCCCTCCCTGTAGGTGTAAATGGCATTTCCTATATATAATAATACAATTACTAACTTGTTGCTTGAGAATCAATGTTATCTGAGACTGGACGTTGATTTTCTCAGTCCCCTCCCCGGTCCAATACTCTATGTTACCCTCGCAATTAGGCAATGTGACAATAAGAAGCTAGATCTAGAAATAATAGGATTCTCATAGTAATTTTTCCAATGAATACTACAGCCATGCAGGGACACTGGCTAGCTCTCTACACACATCTGAAACGGCTCGGATTAAATTGCAAACGAAAAATCATTGAGGATTTGCTTAATAATCCCTTTGAAGATATATTACTTACTATATAGTATCAACCGACACAGGCGTAGCCTCCTTATATTTAAGCGAAGTTCAATATTTACTTAGTTGGGATACAATCAAGTCAAATTGTAATCTTTTTGTATACGTGATAACTAAAATTGCACTGTAACGTTAAAGGGCCGGACACACCAGGCGATTGCATCGGGCGATGGCATCGCGCAGTCATGGACACACCAGGCGATTGCATCGGGCGATGGCATCGCGCAGTCATGGACACACCAGGCGATTGCATCGGGCGATGGCATCGCCCGATTCTTGCACGCGCAGTGCGCTTGGCTGATGAACTCTGATTGGCTGATGAATTGTAAAATCGGGCGATGTTATCGCCGGTCGCGGACACACCAGGCGATTGCATCGGGCGATAATATCAAAACGTTTTGATCTGTGCGATGGCATCGGGCGATGAAATCGGCGGCGATTGAGTGGACACACCAGGCGATTTTCACGCCGATGCCATCGGCCGATGCCATCGCCTGGTGTGTCCCGGCCCTTAACACAACTGATATTGAGTGTTCAAAAAACACTAAAGCGGATCAACCAATTCCTCGTTAGAGCGATCACGTACACAACAAGTAAAATGTGTGGTATTCTTTTTTGTCAAACAGCATATACATTCGTTGACTTGTGGAAAAAATCTTCATCTTTTCAAGTTATTTAAAAAGATCACTTACTGATATAGGAGGAAATTGCTCTGTTTATAGAAATTCAGACCCATCAAAATGTTGCCCTATCATTGTAAATCTGACACCATCCTCTTAATGTAAGTACTGGTTTTGCAGTACTGCTTACTCCCTAACAATCTATCGTAATTAATATAACTTAGACAAGTTTTGATTTTATATAAACATTTTTGCAGACAAAGGTGGGGGTACCACATATTTCACGGAGTAGGACCCCTCCCCCCGTGCAGCTTCCGCCAGTCCTGCCACATCTAATTTCACATTGACTCACCTCTAATATTCACTGCTCGCATTAGTGGCACCTGAACACCAATTTTCAGATATAGGCTTAAGCAGTATAGAATTCCTAAAAACAGGCCCTTTGAATATATATATTCTGAATAGTTTCGTACACAAGTAGTTTACCAATCCAGGCAAAATAGAGTAGGAACTGACTGCCTGTGTCTAAGTGTACCACGGAAGCACGCGGGCAGAAACACCCTACAAAATAAGTAGGAAATCATCTTGCATAAATTCGCCTATAGGGAGTTCATAAATTGTCACCATTCTAGATATGCCTTGTAAATTCGCCTTTATAGAAATGCTTTATGAAGCGTCGTTATGCAGAAAAAAACCATCGAAATTACAAATCATTTGGTGCAGATTTCATGAAGCATTTGCGTGCTGATAACCAAGCAGGCATATATGCATTTATACCTACACCTCACACAACACCGAACATCATTGCTGGCTGTTATAACACCCCGAATAAGTAATATTTTTGTTTAAAACGTTTACTTTCATTCACACACGTTCATATTTTACTTCGGTTGAAGGAATTTCTGAAGGAACACGCATATCTATTCTAATTACAAAACTGGAAATTAATGGGAAAACGGGTTTCACGTTATAGAATGCCCTCATTTTTCAACGATGCATTCCTACCATAACGCAGGGTATTGCTCAATGCTGTATAGTGTAAACCACAGCCGAGTGCTGAACAAACCTACCCGATTAGCTGAGTCATTCACTCACGATGAGCTCACCGTTCAATAGACCTACCGTAAGCTGTGTGACCTAATTGATTTTAATATAACTGCGTGCACATTTAGCCGAAAGGATTCGATACCATACCATTTTACACACGAAAGGATTCGATACCATATCATTTCACACACGAAAGGATTCGATACCATACCATTTGACACACAAACGCAATACTATTTTCGATACAATCATTTACATCATTACTTGAACTTAGCAGCAGCAAGGCACTCAGACACGATAACTAAGCAGCTTAGCAGTTCGCAGGGATCCGTAACCGCACCTACATTGCACTTGCTGTTGGATACATCACAATAAAGGTCATAAAGTATGCCAAATAAAAGAGCAAGGATCCTATATATGTTATACCCAGAGTACATCCATATGGTGCAGTATAGAAACTGTACTTGGCTTGGTCCATGGACCCCTTTGGTGTCCGTGAATAGGCTTCAGGAGGTCCGTGAACTCCATTGTATGCAAAATTTTGTGTTTTGTACTTATGTCCACTTTTCTGGGGAGGGGTCTGTAGTTTTCACTAGATTCTTAAACAGGTCCATGACTCAAGAGAGGTGTAAAAATACACTAACTATTCTCACTTCCTGTAAGCAATGTTGTGATTGTTCTAGTTTTTTATTAGTAAAAAGGAATTACAATTTACAACAAATTGAAATCACAGAATGATAGAGAAAAAGTATACAGACTTCAAACCCTGCCAAACCACCTTTATCAACCCTACAGGTTTGATAGTATTATCAGGAGTCTATCAATATTGATAGACTCCTGGTATTATCATATATATACAATACACTATCAACATCCATAGCCAACTGATTACTTTTGTCACATGTTGCATTAAATATGCAGTGCAACCTCAATAATGTATCCATTTATTATTAGTTATTTCTGCGTAAGTGTCATCCTGCATTCCAGCGCGCATCACAGAATTCGGGAGGCAAATTACAAATTGCACAGGAAAACAAAGTTTCAAATAATTTATGAAGTGATAAACTAATTTTTCCTTCCATGCAGCTAGACTGATGCCACAAGACCATGATTTCCACAAGCAACGGCCAGCGCGCTGAAGCTTTATATCTTTTACTTTTTATTAGCCTTGGTTTCCAAACAATTTTTATTTGGCAATGGTATCTGTGGTTGATATCAAAATAAAAATAAAAATGGCGATGGTCTGAGTTTAAACATATATATCCAACATTTCAACATTCAACATTTCCATGGTTTATATCAAAGCAACATGCCCATTGTACCTACTTATGAGGCCCTTCACTCCACCACAGGTGTGTCTATAGACAACTATAGATAGACAGAAGGCAGAGACAACTATACATAGGTAGCGAGAGGTACACAATCCTACATTAGATTTGCTTGATTTTGATTGCTATTAATTAAGCTTAATTGTTTTGCAATCAGTTTATATAGGGAACAGTACTCTAGCTTTGCCTATCTGTCCCAACAAATCACGTACTGTATGGGAGCACAGCTATACATGTTTTTGGGAAAACAACTAGTATGACATGATGTCAACGTTTGTAACAGATAGACACATAAATCCAGATCTTCGTTATGACTGCTATAACATTATGGCGTAAGAAACTAGTTAATTACCACTAAAACTAGAAATGGCAGTTGTCGCCAACTACATGTATCCCCCGCAATCTAGTATGAATGAAATATCTCCGTAAGGACGTATAAGGTAGGTAAAGTGAAACAAGTCACAATGACAAAGGTTAGTTAAACAACTCATCTGCCTCAGATGTGCAAGTATGTCAAATTTGGTTACCATAGGGAGCTGAAGAGAAAAACTAAGTCCACAGTCAAGGTCAATTAAACTATGTCAGTGGTAAAAACACACTATAAAAAGAATCTTACTGTATTTTCGCACAAATCTGCTATGTTGATTAGGGGTAAACTAAAAGTCAGAGAGATTATCTTCAAGTCCAGAGTGAAGGTCAAAGACAGGTGCCAATGCGCACTTTCTCTCTCAGACGTGTAAGTAATTAGTATACCAAGTCTGGTTGTGCTAGGTCAATTATGGGGCTGATTTATAGAGCGTAAAGGAAATATGATCAAGGTCAAGGTCAAGGTCAAATAAAGGTCGCAGTGACCTGGTTTTGGTACGCGACACACTTTCTCCGAAAGATGTGTAAGTATACCAAGTTTGGTCACGCTAGGTCAATTAGAGGCAGAGTTATAGAGCAGAAGGAAAATATGATCAAGGTCAAGGTCAAATATAAGTCGCAGTGACCTGGTTTTAGTGCGCGACACACCTTCTCCCCAAGATGTGTAAGTATACCAAGTTTGGTTGCGCTAGGTCAATTAGGGGCCGAGTTATAGAGCGGAAGGGAAATATGATCAAGATCAAGGTCAAATAAAGGTCGCAGTGACCTGGTTTTGGTACGCGACACACCTTCTCCCCAAGATGTGCAAGTATACCAAGTTTGGTCGTGCTAGGTCAATTAAGGGTCGAGTTATAGAGCGGAAGGAAAAGTGTCTGGGGCGGGGGCGGCAAGCGGCTGGACAGACATGAAACCATAGTATCCCCGCCGACTTCTGGCGCAGGGGATACAATAAAACATCAAGCTTACTATTTATATTAATCAATATCTGTTACCCATACAGCTATGTACAAACGCCGAACTGCTACATGTATGTAACAAATCCTGCCTAATTCTTGCTACAAAATTAAATTTCGAAACCAAGTACGATTAAAATTCGTGGACTCCCTATACTATAAAAAAAATGTGTTGTATGCAGAAAAAATACACACAAGCAAATACACGTAAAAATACAGATGTATGAAGAAACCATCACATGAAATGCGAAACTGTCGCCCACCACTTCCGCAATTGCTTTGGTAAGACACCAGTTGGCAGTATATATAGCAAATAAATTTATCTGGAACAAGTCAAGTTTCGTAGATCATCTGCGCTTGGCTCAATAGACATTCATTTTATAGCTAGGCTTTCCCTGGAGAACACTAGTGAATATCACCCATGAGGGTCGGAGGAGAAGTGATGATGAGGAGGTGGGGCGCGACCCGTTTATATACCCCATGGCTACACGCTGCGTACACGCTTGGAACACGCTAGAAGAACGCTGGGCGCGCTACAGACTCGTTCAGCACTCCCATATTCGCTGCATGTTCACTGGACGTGTGTTAGAACTTAGAAGCACGCTAGGTGAGCGCTAGGTGTTCGCTACACCTCAGCCGACGAACATACAACGAATACCCAGCGTGTGCTCCGCGTGTGTCTGGCGTTGGTCCAGCGCGCCCTGCGCGTGTCTGGCGTCCATCTGGCGTGTACATTCATGCGTCGAGCTCCGCGCACATTTTTTTGCATGTTCAAAAATCCCGACGCACACAGCAAATGACAACGAATGAATAGCGTTGGTCCAGCGCGCTCGACGAACGAGTAACGAATGCTGACGCACACCCAGCGAAAGACAACGCACTGGCCAAAATTGCTAATTTTTCAGTGCGCGGGCCGTGCGTCGTGTATGTCATTGTGTGACTGGCGCATTATCAACAGAGGCACCAGACCAGTACTGTTGGGATGGGAGGGCATGGAACTGCTATCTGCCTGAATGAGTAAGGTTGTTGCCTCATTTTTTTCTCTGGCAGCACGTACTTGCTGCTTGGTGATAGTTCATTTCTAACCCTGTTAGTGTTACTATATACTTGCATAATTTGTGCTGATATGGACAATGTATAGCCACTTTAAAATCAAGGAAATGGACCGTACAGCATTATTTTGCAATTTACCTTATCAAAAACTCTATATTTAAATAAATATTGCACCACAGATAAGCATTTGAAGATAAGCATTTGAGCATAAGCAATGAGTAAGGTTGAAATAGACCCAAAGAACCAAGACTTTTAAGGCAAGTATTTAAGCTTCCTCCTTTATTTCGAATTCGTTCGTAATGTTTACTTGATATTTTGATATTGATCTGCGTAACCATAGGCGCTATGTGTGTGCAAGGCACAGAGAACCTGGCAACATAGGCTGCCGTGATGCTATACAAAATACTTCATGAAAGGCTCTTAGCACTACCACCGTTGCTAGTAATTAGTTCAATTATTAATATAACCAATAAATGATACACAAATGTAACTGCTACGTAATGCAGTAAAAAATGTACAACATAAACTTCTAACATACAGTGCATAATGCTGTGCGTATTTCCCAATACAAGTACATAATATAATTTGCATAGGCTGTGCATATTTCCCAATACAGTGTACCTACATATATACATAATATCAAGAGCAGATAAAGAAGGAGAGCATACAATGGTAAAATGCTGAAACCATGTTGCAGTATTAGTCGAATTAATAATACTTTTCCGTTTATTTTGACGATTCTTTTGCAGTATTAATTGATCAGCTGTCCTACTTTGTTCATATAAAACAAACCGCATGTCCCTACGATGCACATAGCGCTGAGATAATGACGGTGAAAATCTGGTATTTTCGCCGAAAACCGACTCGAGATCAGTCAATACTGCGTCCCTCACTCGAAGTGTTATAACTTCGGCGTAAACCCGGCGTGTTTCCGTCAATGATTGACAAATGGAATGAATTGACGTCTGTTATTGATTGCCATAAGTGATGGACCCCCACACTCTGTGCCACCTCACGCCCACCCACGGCTGGATGTAATAGTAAACCTGTAGTATTACGTGAGTCAGCGCCACTATGGCGCTACACAGCGGCGACCAGGATCAACACACTGGAAACACTTCGAGTGAGGGACGCAGTATTGACTGATCTCGAGTCGGTTTTCGGCGAAAATACCAGATTTTCACCGCTCATTATCTCAGCGTAGGGGCATCGTTGGGACATGCGGTTTGTTTTATATGAACAAGGTAGGACAGCTGATCAATAATACTGCAAAGGATCGTCAAAATAAAACGGGAAAAGTTTATTAATTCGACTAATACTGCAGCATGGTTTCAGCATTTTACCGTTGTACGCTCTCCTTTTTTATACGCTCTTGATAAAATAATTTATAACAAAACAGTATTTCTTCGTTTTTCCAATCGAAACAATGTTTGATCTCTTCAAGCTAATATAGTATCAAGAGCGTATAATAACCTTCTTTATATGCTCTTGATAGTATGCAATACATACAGAAGCTGAAACATATTGATGTACAGGAATCATATCTTCTGGCAGTTTAAATTTTGAGATGTACATCCCTTGTTTGCAATAAACCCTCTACTTAAAACAAAAACAATTTGAGAAACGGGGACAGAGAAACCCATTTTGGAATTCACTTTTCTTAACCCATTGACGCCAAACTCGGCATAATTATCGCCAAACCTATTATTATAAGTTGTTTTTTAAATATGTTGCCAATTTGAATGATAAAATAAAATAAAAATTTGGCTCCTCATAAAAACTTTTTGTTTTCCGCGTCAATGGGTTAAATGTGCCAAGTGTATGCATGCATGCACAAGTAAAGTGAGTGGATTTAGTGGAATACAATTTCAGCTAACATTTCTTCAGAGAAGAGCAGCGAGATTTCAATAAACTAAATGTCATCTTCATTCTCCAAGTCTTCTAAAAGCCATCGCTATCATTTTCTGTGCAAGCCGAATTTTTGCAATCAATGCACTTGCATAAATCTGTGCAGTTTACATTGTGCTGTCTACAAGAGCAACGACCCTTTCCTTCTCCTTTGGGTTCTTCACAGTTTGTCTTCTTGCGACTGCAGTTGGTAAGCTCTAGCAGAGTACTTGGCGCTGGTGGAAGGTCACCCCATACTACCTCCAAGTCTGTGTTGTTGGTAACTTTCCAGCCATGACCATGTGGGCTGGGAATGGCTGGAAACTGCTCCAGACATCTTACATGTATTGCTGCTTGGTAGTTAGCTCTCATAAGATGTTTCATCAAAGAGTCACGTGAAGGGAGCATGCTCATCTCAGCCTTTGTACCCATCAGAAATTTGTTGTATCGAGCTGTATTTACATCAGAGCAATCTTGATCATAAAACTTACAAACAAATCTCTCAAGTGCATCTACCAGACTAGTGTCTATGGTGAATGAGCTTCCAAGCTGTTTGAATGCTTCTTGAAAGTCTGTAGATTCACGCATCATTTTCATGGCTTTTTTCTTTGACTTGCCGTAGAAGGAGCTCACCGAATCACATCCTGTGAAGCAATGTAGTCCGATGAGGGCATCTGTTACCTCACGTCCAAGATGGTTTTG